TCCATTAGTATAATATACTCACCAACATACAAGGAAACTTAGTAGAGTGGGGTAAGGAAGTTGGATATGACCATTTGAGATGCCTGTGGACACCCAGGTTGAAATAACTACAGGGAAAATAGCGAATACAGATTGTATATCTATATCCGAAGCTCCAAAGAGAGATCTGGGGTGATTCAGTGGCATTTTGGTTGCGATTTCATGGTATACAAATGGCAGAAGAAACTATGAGAAAACCAGGATACAGTGTAGTCAAGTTGCAACCCGCGAGAAGAGCAATATTTAACAACTTGGAAGAGAAAGTGAAATCAGCAAAGGAGAGAGCAAAGCAATGTTTTCAGAAATGGGAGGAAACCAGGAAAAAGTGGTACCTGGACTTCACTCAAAGAACAAATTGTAAGGAAAAAAAGAAGATGATCAACAATAACCTAATACTCACTACAGAGAAAACAAACAGGATGGGGACTGAACAGACCTATTAGAATTTGCAACGGCGATGTGAATTTTATCAGAACAAATTCAGTGGCCTAGTGGGGATGATGGCTAACTGCACTTCACTCCAGAGCGAATGGGTGCCGTGATTAAGGGAAGGGAAAAGCACGGAGAGGAAGAGACCCCCCTCCCTGTGTGAAGAGGAAATGAAGGGCACACAGCGTACAGGCAGGCAGCGCAAAGACGAGGGAGTTCACAGATAGGTTCGATCATATCGGAGGCAGAAGGTGACTCATCTGCCGAGCCTGCGAGAGTAGTAGCGTGAGGGATGGGAGCCTAAGAGGAACAGTAAATATCTGGAGATCATTATTTTGGAGAACGGAAGAGGGAGTTAATGAGGGACACTTCCAACCGGAGCATTAAGCCAGGGTTTTGTTGAAGTGTAAAGCTATACTGTTGTAAAAAGATAACCAACACAGAATTCTTGGGGCGCCTGGGTGGTGCAGTCGGTTAAGCGTCCGACTTCAGCCAGGTCACGATCTCGCGGTCCGTGAGTTCGAGCCCCGCGTCGGGCTCTGGGCTGATGGCTCAGAGCCTGGAGCCTGTTTCCAGTTCTGTGTCTCCCTCTCTCTCTGCCCCTCCCCCGTTCATGCTCTGTCTCTCTCTGTCCCAAAAATAAATAAATGTTGAAAAAAAAAAAAAAGAATTCTTTCAGCTGTCAGTTATCTTGGTAAAGGAAGGGAGAAGTCATGGCCATATTGATCCAGGATCAGTAGTTTGAAAAGTGGATGGCTCTGAAGTTCAAGGGATGAAGACTTAGCCAATCTGGCAAACCTAGACTGTCTTTGTATCTAATATGTTCAAAATGAATGTAGCATCTTTCTTCCAGACCTAGTTCTTCTAGATGCTAGATTCCCTGTCTTAGTGAGTGGTTCTATAGCCCCTCAGATATAAAGCCATCCTTCAGCGCAATCTCTCTCTTATACCTTCACATTCAATCCTATTTATTCCATTTCCTTAATACCATGTCTACACTTTGACTCCACTGTGCCTCTGCACAGGTAACTCCTTCTACAAGGAAGCATCCTGCAGTCTCTTTCCCATCATTCCCACTCATCTTGAATGACTTACTTCATATACCCCCCTCCTGGAAGTCTTAAGTTCCCTTTCCCTCCAATCTGGGGGGAGGGCTCCTGAGAACAGAAAAGGCAGGGTGTATCTCTTCCAAAGCACTTAAACAACTTTATTCTAGTTGCCTATTCTCTTCCCTACACCCACAAGAATAAGTTCCCCGAAGGCAAGGTTACATCTTTTATTTCAAGCACGCAGTACCTGGTGCAGGACTGTTTACTGAATTCACGGAGAATTATAAAAGAAAGCACTAAACAGCAAAATGAAAGAGAGTAAGAGTCCACCACTATTTAAAACGTCAGGAGGTGATCCACAAAGGAGTACATCACTGAGACAGAGAAATGATATTCAGTGATAATCACCGTGGATTAAACCGCCGTCTCTACCAGTCTGAGGACGGTTATATGATAGGGTACGAGTAGGACTCTCAGAGGGCTAGGACTACAGCTCCTGTCCTGCAGTGGCCACAAGCCGCCCACCTGAAAGAGCAACCTCACCTTCAGCTACAACAGCCCACTTGCTGCATGAGTAAGAAACAGTGACATGAAAAAACGCTCCTTGGTCTCTGGAGGCCCCTGGGGGAAGCTTTCCAGCACATGTTCTGTGATGGTTTCCTAGTGATGATTTAGTAACTCCTAGAACTTAAAAATAGTTTTAGGGTATTTTATATTTGTGTTTAAAGAAACAATATTCCTTAGAATCGTATCGCAACAGATGTCTCATCATTTTGTTACGAAGAAAAACATTCCAAGGGAAAAGAAAATGTAGACAAGAAGCCATGAGTGTTCATGTGACAGCAGTATCTTTACTCAAATAAGTAACGGATGTCCTGAGTCCTCCCATGGTTAGCATGTGATCCCAATTCCATAAATGTTCCTTTAAGAATGATATTTAAGCAGACTTATTTCATGTGAGGTGTCTTTGCAAGTTGTTCCTTAAGTAATTGATATAAATTCTTCTTAACATTAATACACTGTCTTGTGATATTTTAACCAATCATAGACTATCTAGACATTCAATACTTCTTTATTATCAGCAAAATATTGCCACTGTTCTAAAATAATTACCCAAGTCATTTGAGCAAAATCCTTAACCTCTCTAACAGTTCCTCATCTGTAAAATGAGGATAATAATTCCTGCATTCCAGGATTGCTGAAAGGATTACAGTTCGGGTATCTCTGTATATAAAGTAACCATCACTGTGCTTAGCATACAATCTGCTAATCACAAAAAGGTTCTGCTTTTTATTTTCCACAGAATTTTTAGTGATCTTGGTGAAGACAGTTTGCAATTTAATATTTTCCTTTTTGTGGAAACAGAAATAACACTCAGAAATCTGGATCATTCAGGGGTGCCTGGGCGGCTCAGTCGGTTAAGCGTCCGACTTCGGCTCAAGTCATGATCTCATGGTTTGTGAGTTTGAGCCCCGTGTCGGGCCCTGTGCTGACAGCTCAGAGCCTGGAGCCTGTTTTGGTTTCTGTGTCTCCCACTCTCTGTCCCTCCCCCACTCTCTCTCTCTCTCTCTCTCAAAAATAAATAAACATTAAAAAAAAAAAGAAATCTGGATCATTCACATACATATTCACGTACATGTGGGGGGAGTGTCTCTAAAGTATATATTTTTCTGTGTGCTTATTGGGTTTATCCACTTTGCCTCTCTGCGTACAGACTTCTACTGGATTCAACAAAGTTAAGAATTCAGTTGATTAATTTCACAAATAAAAAAGGAAGTATCTGTTCCTTTGAAGCTAGAAATATGCTGTAAAAAGTTATTCTTATGGGGCTATATTGAGTTGGAATTAGATCTAGCAGAGATAAATAGATTTTATTACATACATTCTATTCAGACACTTCAATTCTTTTCTCCTAGAAATCATTCTTAGGATTTCCTCAAAATAGATACGGTTTTTATATCAAACTAGGGACCACACCAATTAAGCTATGAACCCATATTTTCAATGTTAAAAGTTGACCTGTCGGGGTGCCTGGGTGGCTCAGTCAGTTAAGCGTCTGACTTCAGCTCAGGTCATGACCTCACGGTTTGTGAGTTCGAGCCCCGCGTCGGGATCTGTGCTGACAGCTCAGAGCCTGGAGCCTGTTTCAGATTCTGCCTCTCCTCTGCTTGCATTCTGTCTCTCTCACTCTCAGAAAAATAAACATTAAAAAAAATTTTTTTATAAAAAAAAAACCTGACCTGTCAAAACACTGCAGTTTCATTTCCTTAGGTTAAGTTACAATTCACACACATAAGTGGACAACAATAATTTTCAAATTAAAATTTTGTTATCAAAATAAATACTGTGCAGGAAGAGTCAGTGTATAGCAAGCCTGAGATAGCTCTCCTTTGAATGGTCTGCTTTCAAGATGGGACCCTTGGCTAGCATCTGTGAACCTAAATTTCTAAAATGTTCCCACAATTCCCTAACTGATAAGAATGGCTTACCATGCCTAAATTGTTTGTGCAAACAATATGGTTTATGCTGAATACTGAATGCTTTCCTTCTGAGAGTTTGGAAATTTGGTATGTGCCATGTAATAGGTGCCTGTGTGGTCAGCTCCAATAAAAACCTTGGACACTGAATCTCTAATGAGCTTCTCCGGTAGATAATATTTCATCTGTGTTGTAACAATTCCCTGCTGGAGGCATTAAGCCCTTTCTGTGTGACTCACCTAGGAGAGGACTCTTGGAAACTTACATGTGGTTTCCTTCAGACGTTGTCCCATGTGCCTTTTCTTTCATTCATTTTTCTTTGTATAATAAATCATAGCTATGAGTACAAATATATACTAACTCCTAATAGTACTCCTAGAAAATCACAGAATCTTGGGGTGATTTGGGGACCTCCAACACAGCTGCCATAAAATGTCTTTGATCAAACTATCTTCTACTTTTTTCCCATTTTTATATTACGTTTTGTTAATTTCCTTAGGTACACTATTTAGGAATAGAGAAAACAGACTGAATAGTTAAGACAGATAAATAATTATATAAAATCTGCTATCAGAGAATAATCTCAGTAGATAGGAAATGAAAAAAAGCTAACAACTACCTAATTATAAACCCCCAAACATTTGGTGTTTCTCCTAGAGTACAGCCATATTTTAAATACAAATTTTAGAATATTTGCAACAGATCATAACCTCTCAGGACATTTGCAAATCCTCACCAGGTTACTGGCAATTTTAGTAATTTCTTTCTTAGAAATTGATTTCCCTTTGGAGAGTGATAATCAAGCCCAATCGTTTTCATTTCAAAATAGAATACATTAATCAATTTAAAGATGTCTTTTCTTAGTTTTGAAAAGCATAAATATATTAAACATGCATTTGTCCCACAGCATGTCTGCAAATCAAAATCCACCGAAGTGAGAATTCTGAACTCTTTAAACTGTTCTCGAGAACTTCCCAGTAGCATTTCCAATGGTAGAGAAACTTACATTTTTTTGCAGTGTGGGCATTTTGCCAGAGTGTTGAACCTCAGTTCCATCCACTGTAAATAAAAAGAAAAGATTGAAAAGAAAAACAACTGAAAACTATCCAATCTGATAAGATGCTTCTCTTAGTTCAAATGTTACCAGGGATCACAGCAGAAGCAACCCCCTTCTCTGGGGGTATAGGCGCTTTCCCCCTCCAACACTTCTTCCGTCCCTTAAAATAAAGTTTGGGACTCTCCTTTGCGACAGTTCCCATGACTTGCCCAAGGCTTTGACGCAATCTAGGTTGGCTTCACAATGAAAACTGAATGTAATGCTGTAATTAGAATGATTTCTTTCAGCCTTATATCTCAGTTCACTCCCAAGGAATAAAAACATATTTTAGGGACCTTCAAAGAAGTTTTGCCTTTAAATCTTGAAGATTAACCTTCAAAATATATGACTATTTAAATTCATTACTAGAATGCAGCTATTTATAATCTATTTATGTGGGAAACCCACAAAGTAAGTAAACTAAACAAAGGAGGTAGAGGGAGAACTCAAGTCAGGCGGCTGCTCTCGGTTCTGTCCGTGCGTATTCTAAGTAACAAATACAGTCTTTCTACAGCACCAATTTTTTTTCCCTTGTAAATGTAGGTAATAGAATGGGCTATCTTCCTTGTCATTGAGATCCTTGAAATGGTTTCCTGGTAGTGGGTGAAAGTCTTTGAAAGAATGTGCAATATAAGTTTAAAGTAAATCTTAACTACAAAATGTATATTTAAAAATGCCTTGGGGTACCTGGGTGGCTCAGTCAATTAGTTAAATATCCAACTTCAACTCAGGTCATGAGTCGAAGTCTCACGGTTTGTGGGTTCGAGCCCTGCATTAGGCTCTGTGCTGACGACTGGCTGGAGCCTAGAGCCTGCTTCAGATGCTGTGGCTCCCTCTCTCTCTGCCCCTCCCTGATGACACTCTCTCGAAAAATAAAAAATAAAAAAAAATGCCTTTCTCAACTTCCATTTTGCTTGCTTTTCTATATACCTTCTTACAAAGTCTATTTCCTTTATAGTTTTAGGAGAATTCCTTTAAGTACTTCAATTTTATCATCAAAACAACTTAATCTTTTATTAAAATTAATTTTTGTTTAGGATTCCAAATCATTCCTATCTCTTTTCATAACTTTCCAATTCTAAGTATAGTAGGGTTTCAATAAATTATATATATCCAAATGTTTTCCACACAATAGAAGATAACTTTCAGAAAGTCTTGGATGCATGACGTTTTTTTAATTTTTAAAAAAATTCTTGAGTTTTGGGGTACCTGGGTGGCTCATTCGGGTGAGCGTCCAACTTCGGCTCAGGTCATGATCTCCCCAGTCGGTGAGTTCGAGCCCCATGTTGGGCTCTGTGCTAACAGCTCAGAGCCTGGAGCCTGCTTTGGATTCTGTGTCTCCCTCTCTGCCCCGCCCCCACTCGTTCTCTCTCTCTCCCTCCCTCCCTCTCTCCCTCTCTCTCAAAATAAACATTAAAAAAATAAATAAAATTTAAAACTTAAAAAAAATTAACTTTTAAAAAAGATCAAATATATCTGGGTTTTCCTAGGCGTCTCTTTCTTCATTTTTATTTCAAACCTCAAAGAAAGTTAGTTAACCTTGAAATTATCTCTCAGTCATGGTAGGGACATACAGTCCCAACATAAACAAACTAGAGATGAAACCACATGAATGTTCATTCCCTTCTCAAAATCATTATTTTTCAGCATCTGGGAATGCCACACCAAGGCTACATTTTTTTTTTT